ATGCACAAAAATTATATATATGTATATATATACATGCACAAAAATTAGGGAATACGTGTAATATATTGGAATTAGAAAATATAAAGATATGTGAAAATACCAACAGCGCCCGGGCTATCAACGTGGGTATCCCATGTTAGTGATGCTAGTTTTCGGGGACCGCCTGAACGGCCATTTACTTTCTATTTATAAACATGAACAAAACGAAACGAAACGAATTAAAAAAAAAAGATTGTGAAAAGCGGCCTAATAATAACTCCTTCAGAAGGTAACACATCCATACCTTCGCTTGCTTTTCGGCAATCTCATCATCAATTCCGCTTAAAATCTCTCGATATTCCTCGAGCTTGGCCTTCGATCTTTCTGGCAATTTTTCCAAATCAGCAATCTGAAAACTACTGATGCAATGGATCATTTTACATTAAAAAAAGATTTACGACAAGGTATAGAAAAAGCCCAAAATCGAAATAACACAGGTGGAGATCACTGAAAATTATATTCAGGAAAACTGAGAGTAAGTGATGAGGAAACAAGGAGCGCTAAAAATTACAAACCGGAAAAAATTACGGTTAAGTACAAGTCATCTATAAGTAAAGATAAAAAGCTAATAAAACCGTACAATATTTAAAAGGATTCGAAAATGCCAAAAAATGAATAAAAAGATCGCCTGAGCACTCAATGTGGCGACCCACTGCTAGTAATGTTACTGAAGTATTTCCGCACGTTCGGCGCAGCTCTGTTCATTCCTCAACCAAAAGAGTGCTGACAGTACCCCAAACTGAATTTTTATTCAAGCATAGGCGAGAAGTGGAGCTGCCTCAAAGTTTTGGTTCACACATGGACAGGAAACATCCTCATGCAATTTCAGCGTCCCATTTTCTTTATTCACGAAATCGTTTGATGGGAACGCTTTTTCAATCCCAGCTTTTAAGTGTCTGTACGTAAAACGTAGGTGTGTGTAAGACTGACCCGGCTTCTCCAGTCGTTGTTTTGAAATCTAACGATAAAGTCCAAAACACACACACACACACACACACACACACCACTTTTTACGTCTTCTACATTTCATTAATTATGCAAAAACGCATAAAAACGTGATCTATTTGTCTGAGAGTCTCTACTTTTCAGATATATTTATGTAGGAGAAATAAAAGTAGTAAAGATAAGATATTACAGATCCAGCTCGAAAGGGGGCCAGTTACTTGACAAAACAACCTTTTTCTCTTCCTTTGCTATCTCATCGACCAATTTTTTCTTGCGATCGTTAAGCCGAAGCAATTCTGCTTTTCGCTTTCTTTCTGCTTGTTCCAGTTCGTTTATCTGGTGCTTTATTCCCTCACAAACCTCCTGGGCT